GCATGTTTTATAAAAAACTAAAAATATAAAGTCAATAATTTAAGCTTCCATCTTAGAAAACTAAAGAAAGAGGAGCAACATAAATATAAAGCAAGCAGAAAAAGGAAATATTAGAGCAGAAATCAATAAAATTGAAAGCAAGAAAATGGCCAATAAAATCAACAAGATCAAATGCTGATTGTGTGCAAAGAACAATAACATTGATAAACTTCTAGCCAGGATAACAAAAAAAAAGAGATAAAACACAGATCACTAATATCATAAAAAATAATGGGTCATCCCAATTGATCCTATGGTATCAAAAGGAGAATAAAGGAATATTGTGAACAATCCTATGCTAAAAAATTTGATAACTTGGATGAAATGGATCAATTCCTTGAAAGACACAGTCAACCAACACTCGCACAAGGAGATAATCTGCTAACCAAGAATTTAAAGAAGATATACCAATTTTCTACACCGCCTTTTAGAAAATAGACGCAGAGGTAATAATTCCTATTTCATTCTATGAGGTCAGCATTACCTCAATACCAAAACGGGATGAAGACATTACAAGAAAAGCTACAGACCACTATTTCTCATAAACATGGAATCAAAAATCTTGAATTTGGAAGCCAACAATATGTACCTACTAAGCAAATGAGATTTGTCTCAGGTATATAAGGTTGGTTCAACCTCTGAAAATCAATTAATGTAATCCATCATGTCAACAGGCTAGACAAAAAAAATCCTGTAATGATATCAGTAGATGCAGCAAAAGTATTTGATAAAAAAACCAAACACTCCTGATTTAAATTTAACATCTATGATAAAAATTCTGAGAAAACTAGGGATAGAGAAAACTTCTTAACTTGATAAAGGACATCTTCAAAAAGAAAACCTCTACAGTTAACATCATACCTAATGATGAAAGTATATGTTTTCCCTCCAAGATTGGAAGTAAGGCAAGGATGACTGTTTACCACTTCAACTACCCAACATCATATAGGAAGTTACAGCTACTGCAACTAAGACAAGAAGAAGAAATAAAAGGTATATAAACTGAGAAGGAAGAAATGAAATTGTATTTGTTTTCATATGACATGAAGGCAGAGACAAATGTATTTGGAAAAATAAGTAAATTAATTTTAAAAAAAACCAAAAAACAAACAAAAAAATAAAAAATAGAAAATCCAAAAAAAATCAACAAAAATAAAAAACATCCTGGAATTGCTATAATTGCTGATTATAAGTTTCAAGAATCAATGTTACCTTCTATTTGGTTTAATTTTGTATATGTAAAGGCCATTGATATTACATGTTAATTTTATATTTTGTAATCTTAATACATTTCTTAATTTTTTTGTAGTAATTTTGGCATTGATTTTTTTGCACTATCCATCCATATTATTATTGTATCTGGCAGCAGAGTTAGCTATCAGTGTGGGGGTTGTTTTGGTATTTAAGAAGATAATCATAATATTGTTCCTTAGAACTATTAAATGCCAAATTCAGTTTGCTAATATTTGTATTTATTTTTTCTTTGCTATTCATAGGTAATACAAGTTTATTTTTTTCTACTGAAGTTCTTTTCAATTTTAAATATAAATATTTGTTTGAATAACAGGTGACTAAATATGAGGATGGAGGAGAAGCCTTAGCATAGGTTTCGTTTTTTAGTTCAAGATCACACCCTTTTGTTGGCAATGTAAAGAACAATTTCTTTAGAACAATTCATATAGCAAGGACTCATGGACAAAACCAAAGGGGAAGAGCTGAGGGAGGGAAGGTGGGAGGGGGCAAGGGAAAGAGGTGGGGGGGAGGCAGAGACAAATGTATTTAAAAAGTAAATAAATTTTAAAAAAAAGAACAATTTCTTTAATAAATAAAGGCTTTTGGGATGTGTCTTTAAATTCTATGATACTATATTTTTCCTGTAAGACCCTTACCTTTGGCTTCTTGCTTTCTTCCTTTCTTTTAATATAGTAATTCTCACAAGGTACCTTGTCCTTGTCACCTCCTCCTAGTCACTCTCCAAGACCCATTATTCTAATTTTTCAGGGACTACTGCTCTGACACTCACTTGAGCATGGCTCAGACAGGTTTTCATCAGGGTGGCACTTTTAGTCTTTCCTGTTCCACTCTCTACCCCCATCCTACTCATGTGAAATCTTTGCCTGACCCTCTTCTGCAAAGTGAACTCCAGAGCTAACTTTTCTGGTTTAAGCATTTCCTCTACTTAAATGTGAACTGAAGTTACTAATATCTTCTCATGCTAGTCATGACATAGGTTGTATTCTGGTTAATTTGTTTTTCCTCTTTGTTGAAATGTATGGTTTTCAAGGATGTATGAAGAAATTTGAATTTCTATGGTTGCTATTATCTCACAGGAAACCAGAGGTTGAATTTATTCTTTATTGACTTAATCAGCCTGTGCAGGTTTAACTATAGATGTTCTATTTGCTTCTTTTTTCACTATTAACTGGACACTTTTCTATAATATATAATAGTCTAAAATAATATATGTATACATGTATACATGACTAAATATTATGGGTAGTTTTAAGTTTTGGGACCTCTCAATGAGCATTTGGTAATCTAGTTTAATCTTTATGGAGCAATTCATCATTATTTAAATATGACAATGATGAAGTAACTTATTAAAGGATTTATACATCTCTGAACAAATTGAGTCAACTTCTTTATGTCTCAAAATATGATACCCTAAAAGTAATGTGGTTCTTCAACATTCTAATAGTGTGAGGGTCCTTACTAGGGAAGTCTATCTGAATCCTCTGGAATACAGTTACAAAATACTTTTTACCTGGTCTGTACCCCTAGAACATAGGCTTTCACCTTTGTTGTATATTATTGTCACTGTGGAGTTTTGTTGAATTCCAATGCCTATTCCACGTGCCAGACACATTATTAAATCAGAATCTGCAGAGGTATTTGCAGATATCAGTAACCAATATAACCCATCCATGGTATTGCTTTCTATAGTTTCAGCTACCCTCAGTCAACACAGTTCAGAAATATTAAATGGAGCCCAGGTTGCTGTGGCTCAGTTGATTGGAGCATCTTCCCATAATCTAAAGGCTGTAGATTTGATTCCCAGTCAGGGCACGTGCCTAGATTGTGGGTTTGATCTCTGGTCCAGGTGCATACAGGAGATCAATTTTTTCTCTGACATGGATATTTCTTTCTCTCTCTTCTTCTCTCTCTAAAATCAATGTCCTCAGTTCAGGATAAAAAGTATTAAATGGAAAATTCCAAATAAAGAATTCATAAGTTTTCATAAATTGTATGCTATTCTGCATAGCATGATGAAATTTCATGCTGTTTCTTTACATCTTACCTGGGACTTACATCACCCCTTTGTCCAGCATGTTCACACTGTACATGCTGCCTATGTATTAGTCACTTGGTAGCCATCTTGGTTATGAGATTATCACATTATCACAGTGCTTGAGTTCTACTAACTCTTGTTTTACTTATAGTATCTCCAAAAGCACAAGAGTAGGATGCTGGCAATTCAGATATTCCAGAAAGAAAACATAATGTGCTTCCTTTAAGTGAAAAGTTATGCGTGTATAGGAAAAATCATAATATACGTACGGTTCAGTACTGTTTACAGTTTCAGGCATCCATGGAGGCGTCTTAAAATGTATCCCCCATGGATAAGAGGAGGGGGCTACTGTAGAAGGCTTAGAGTTCAAAATGATGTCTTAAATAATACTGCTGATTCACATCTCTTCACTAACTTACATGCATCCACATTTGAGAACCACCAGTGGTGTTTGAGGCCTTGGCTCAATGTTCCTTATAAACCTATTTGAAGACACATGGTCCTAGAATATTCTTTTTCTTGCCATCCGAATATGTAACTATTCTGGGGATTTTGTGTCAAAGCAAGATCTCCCATAGTATCAAATAATGCTAAAGGAAAAAAAAAAGTCTCCAGTTAGACATAAATCCCCACGTGACACTACCCCTCTGAGAAACTACAGTGGTTCTAATTTTTGAAAAGAGAAAGTGGTTTGGAGCTTCCAAAACTTCACTAAATAAGATTTGTAAAAGCTGTCTCCTCACCTTCACATTCAGCTAGAATTTTATTTCTATGGTTCCTAAGTCATTTGAGGATGGACTGCATCAGAATCACTGGGAAACCTGGTAAACAATTGATATCTTAGACCTCACCCCAAGAGAATTGAATGCAGCAGGATTTTGGGGGTGGGGCTGGGGACTCAGGATTCATTTTTAAGAAATGACTAGGTGACCTGATGCACTCAGAATAGCTGTGAGTTGTAGTCTACGGAAAGGCGCAGTCCAAGGGAACTTGGTAGAAATTTTCAGGTTTGATTGCCTCAAACTCCCAGAGACACAAGTAGAAAAGATCAAAGTTCTCATTTTTTATAACATTTACCAAAATCATAAAGATTAGAGTTAAATGATTTTGCCATCTTGTATTTGAAGAAAAAAATATAAAGTGCTCATACTTTAGATAAGTTGTTTCCATCAAATCTTTAAGTCAGATTGGATATATCATCATATTTGTAAATCAATTTACAGTATTCTTTCTTGTAGACTTTCAGCAGCACCAATGTACATCTTGTGAATCTATTAATATGTTTTTATCCCCATTCAGATGAGTCCTCGTGGTGATATTTGCCAGCTTAGCAAATGTAACTCTCAGTTCAATATATTCAGTGTGATAGAATGGATTTTTAAAAATTGTTATACTTGAACTTTTTCTTACAGAAGTTACTACTTAGTACATAGGACCTCATTAGTCAGATTTTTAAAAAATAATCACTTTATGTTTCAGAGTCTATAGTGATTCTTAATATCCTGGATCAATAATCCTTTTAAGAATTTTACATGAGACTTTGAATTTTCTTACCCAGACAATTGAACATATTTCAATGAAGTCAAAATTTTTATATATTTGTAGGGACCATTAACATGCCAAATCTCCTTGGATCCACACTGCAAATTAAAAGGTCATGATCTAAGATGAGTTTATGTGTTTTTTGGGTACCTGAACAAGAATAAAATTCATGCTCTTGATAAGCAAACCTTTTAATAACTCATAGCCCTGGGACAGCTGTAAGCAATAAAAACTTCCTTATTGAATCATTGATGGTTATAGTTCAAATAGAAGCTTTTCAAAAAATGTCATTATGTGATAGTCGTACAACTATTTGAAGCTTTGTAATGTAACTTAAATGATGGATTATTCTGTCATAAATTTAATAAAAACCAGGCTGTATGAATCAGTTGGCATGGGGGCAGAAAGGTAGAACTCAGGTGGAATTCCAGCTCCTGCATTAATCAGTTGTGTGCCATCAGGCAAGTTGCCATCCCTGAGCCTCTGTTTCCAAATCTATGAAATGAAGGTAGTTCTGCTATGAAGATTAAGATAATGCATGCAAAGAAACTAGTTTATTGATTGACACAAAATGGCACTTTAGAATAGGTAATTGATAGCTGTGATTATTATTAATTTATGAAACAAGTTTATAGATATTTAACTGATATGAGAACTTCCAGAACATGAGATCTAACCTCTTATTTTGCGAAAGATAAAAGCAATTCCAAGGTTGGTTAAAGAACTCATCTAAGATTAAAAGTTCATGGCATTATTGTTACCACCTAGGCCTCCTGGCTTCTACTTCATTTGCACTTTTTAGCATTTGACACCTTACTGCTGGTTTCAAAAAATAAGTCTGAAATTCCAGAAACTTTAGATTCCCTTGTCAGAATTTTAGTGTGAAATATGAGTTTCTCAATATGAAAAAGTCATATCCTGCAATGACATTGCTATGAATTATAATTTGATATAATACACAGAGATATCTCTCAATTATTAGTGTCTGCAATACTAATTAGATATTTGAAGAGATTTTTTTTCTATTGATGACAACCTAAAGGATATTTTTTAAGCTCAGATATATAGAATGCTTGTTGACTTTTAATAAGTAGGACTCAAGTACCAGAAGCCTTTTCACTTCCAACTTTGTTTCTATCTTCAAGGTGGCTTCTTAATTTCAAAACAAAACAAAACAAAACAATTTACATTAATCTCTATAACAAACATGCTTCTATAAAACTCCAAAAAATATTTGGATTTTTTTCTAGTGGGTTAAAGTTTTAGGATATGGTATTAAAATATAATCAATCAATCAAATGTATTTTTAAAAATCACCATTGTTTCTGTCTACTTCTCTCATTAAGTTTTCTTTTATATGACTAGTGAGCTATACCTGTGAAAAGTGTATTTCTTTATTTTTTGTGTGATGTTTTAGATAATTTTTACTATATTGCAAAATCATCACAAAAACCAATTAAGTGTGAAATCTTTACTAACACACAAAACCTTATCAAATAGTTTATAAATATTAGCTCATGAAAGGTTCTGATTACCATTTAAAATGCAAATAATTCTCATTAGTAAATTCTTTATATTCTGATAATAATTATTGGGCTTGCTATTAGTGATGATAATGTTTAAAGCCATGGGGGAAAAATTCTGCTTTCTATTTTTAAAGCATGGTTCCATGCCTATATGTATCACTATTCAAAGAGAATTTTTGGATACCAAAATTGTAATCCTTAATCCTGGGATTTTTAATAATTTTAATCATAGCTCTGAAAGCCAATTTTATTTTAGTGTATTTACAAAACTGAAGTAGAGCTCGGGGTGCCAAAGATATTTGTCTCTTTAAGGTTTATCTATATAGTTTTTCTTTTAATGATTCTATTTTACATGTTCTTATTTGGGTTAAATTCCTTTTAGAGAAAGGCTGGACATATGATAAATATATTGCCGTGTAGAGTAGAATATTATAATGGCAGTTTTGCTACCGACATGATTCTTTATAATCAGTATAAAAATACACTTTTATTTTCCTGTAGACTTCAAGATAGTCTGTGATTCAAAAAATGTAGAAACAGGAAGTGAGAGAAGAAATATTTAAAAAGGATTTTTTAACCTTTAGTTATGTATTTTGCCATATGTATTTTTTTGCCCAGATTTTTGAGGGAAAAATAAGTATGTGCATTATAAATGGGTAACATTAATTCTATATTTATATAGAAATTTTTAATTCTTTTATTTATGCTTGTGCATTAAAGTATAACTCTACAAAAAAATGATATTTATATGCAAATACTGCCCTGGAATATGATAAATCAGTTTTGTTGAAATTAATTTTTTTTAAAAATTTTGTTTAAAAATTGAAAACAAAAGATTTTTCTAGTGAATGTTTGGACTAAAAATATGGGTGCTCATGATAAATGGCAAATTATGGTAATTGAAAATTTGATAAACTAACATTTAAAACCACTTTACTGAGGTATATTTGATATACAAAAACTTCATATTTAATGTATATACCTTGATGAGTTTGAAAATAAGTATACATTTATGAATCCATCACCACAATCTATGCCATGAACATACCCATCACTTCATAAAGTTTCCTTTCACCTTCTTTATGTTCTTATGATGACGATGTAGTATAAGAACACTTAACATAAGATCTACCCTCTCAGAGAAAATTTAAGCATACAGTATAGTGTTAAGTCCAGAAACCATAAAACTACTAAAAGAAAACATATAGAAAGTCTTCTTGGTATTGATATTAACATAATTTCACAGATATGAAATAAGCAACCAAAGCAAAAATGAACAATTAGAGCTACACTGGACTAAAAACCTTCTGTACTGCAAAGAAAGCCATCAACAAAATGAAAGACAACCTATGGAATGGAAGGAAATACTTGCAAACATATAACTAATAAATTCAAAATATACAGGGAAACTTTATAAATAAAAAAGTAAAAAAATGATTTAAAAAAGGCAAAAGGACTGGAACAGATATTTCTCCAAAAAAAATATATAGATGGCCAACCAGGTATATGAAAATGTGCTCAAAATCAGTAATCGTCAGGGAAATGAAAATCTAAACCACAATGAGAAATCCTGTTACAATGCCTATTATCACCCATCCCCAGAGGAAAGAAAAAAATGATAATAAAAAAGTTGCTGGTGAGGATGTGGAGGAAAGGGAATTTGTACACTGTTGGTGAGATTGTATATTAGTGCAGCTACTACAGAAAAGAGTATGGAGTTCCTCAAAAGAATTAAAATAAGCTTTCATATAATCAGTCAGTTCCACTTCTGGGTATATCAAAAAGATACCTGCATTTCTATGTTCACTGCAGCACTAGTCATGATAATCAAAACATGGAAGCAATCTAGATGTCCAGCATCAGATAAATGGATAAAGAAAATATGGTACATACGTACAATGGAATATTATTCCAACTTTAAAAGAAACTAACCATTTGTGTTATTGTGGCTGAATTTGGAAGCCATATGCTAAGTGAAATATACCAGACACAGAAGGACAAATCCTATATGGTACAGTTTCTAAGAGGGATCTAAAATAGGCAAATTCTTAGAAGCATAATGTAGAATACTGCTTGTCAGGAAGGGTAGAAAGTTTTAGTTATGCAAGATGAATAAAACCTAGAGACCTACTATATAAAATTGTGACAAACCGCATTCTTCTTCAGAGATAAATGTTCTCTTTATGCTGCATTAGACTATTTTCTATGTGTTGGCTACATAAAGAGAAATTTGTGGTTAAACATAATAAAATCATAAACTAAAACACAAATGTTATTTGAAGCATTAATGAGGCATAGTTATTTCTGTTGAATAATTTGTTCTTTTGTGGATTGTATTCCAGGCAGTAAATGGAGTAGGGAAGAGTAATTATCTTTATAAAAAACATAACAATGGAACAACTGAATTTTATGTAGGAAGATAGAATGGTCATATATTACGAGAGTGTATATTGAAATAAGCAAACTTACGAGGATACAATGAATTTTACCCCGTGTAAAGACCATGTTCTTAGGTATAATTTTCTATTTCATAACCAATATCCCTGGTTAAGAAAGATGGTATCATCAGAGTACATTTCTGCTCTGCAAATGAAACAGGATTCTAATCTGCCCATCTTTCAAAAAAAAGAAAAAGGCACTGCTGTGCTCTTAGAAAGCTCAGTTTGATATTGCTTATGTTATTAGTCAATCATTGTGCCAATGAATTTTTTGTCTTCCTTCTTTAATGGGCAACAGATATCTTTTTTTTTGTAAAAAATAACATTTTCTAGTCATGTTTCTTATGTGACCATTGAAGTAGGGTGATATTATCCATTTTAATTAGTGATTAGCGTTTAACCTACATTTCCTTTTCAATGTATAACTTTATATTTCTTATTTTTTCTTTTCTTTAGATGTTTACATATTTATAAATGGTATATTTCATCCAGGGCATCTTTATAAGGTAACAGCAGACTTTCACACCTTTGCTAAACAGTTATATATTGCTCCATCTCTCAAATATAAACACGTTATTCTATATACATTGCAATTATGGAAAGAAGTAAGCAGTGATTCTAAGAACATAAGGTCTTAGATATCAAACTGAACTAAATTTGATTTAACTGAAAGTGTAAGTAAAAATGCACTTATTAGCTATCTGATCTTGAGCATCTCACTTTACAGTTAAAGCCTTAGTTCCTTTTATTATTTTTAAAAGGAAATAATAATAGCAATTTCTAGGCTGACTCTGAGATATAGGGATAACATGTGTGAAACACGTGGGAAGAGTAGATTTTTAAATAATAATAATACCTATTATCTTTGTTACTGTATTTGTTACTATTTTGTAATTATTATTTCACTGATTGCTTTCTGCACTTCTTTAAAGAATTAGCTAATATTGAGGGATGTATTTTTAATATATATTTTATTGATTGTGCTATTACAGTTGTCCCATTTTTTTCTTCCCCTTTACTCCCCTCCACCTTGCACCACCACACCTCCCAACATTCCCCTCCACCTTGCTTAGTTCATGTCCATGGGTTATACATGTAAGTTTTTGGCTTTTCCATTTCCTATACTGTTCTTAACTTCCCTCTGCCTATTTTGTACCTACTATTTATGCTGCTTATTCCCTGTACCTTTCCCCCCACTCTTCTCCCTCCCTGGCCCCTCCATTTTACTGTTCATAGTTTTTGATCTTCTTTTTC